AGAGTGGCTATTATTAAAAACACAAAAAATAACAGCTGTTGGTGAGGATGTGGAGAAAGGGAATGTTTATACACTGTTGGTGGGAACATAAATTAGTACAACCTCTATGGAAAACAGTATGGTGATTTCTCAAAGAACTACCATTTGATCCAGCAATCCTACTACTGGGTATCTACCCAAAGAAAAAGAAATCATTATATCAAAAGGATACTTGTACTCATGTTTATCACAGCACTATTCACAATAGCAAAGATATGGAATCAACCTAAGTGTCCATCAACAGATGAATGGATAAAGAAAACGTGGTGTATATACACAATACTATTCAGCCATAAAAAAGAATAAAATCATTGTCTTTTGCAGCAACATGGATGGAACTGGAAGCCATTATCTTAAATGAAACAACTCAGACACAAAGACAAATACCACATGTTCTCATTTATAAGTGGGAGCTAAATAATGTATACACATGGAAGCAGAATGTGGAATGATGAACAAAGGACACTTGGAGGGCTCAGGGGGTGAGAGGAGGTAGATGATGAAAAGTTGGTTGGTGGGTACAATGTGGGTTGCTTCAGTGCTGTATGTACTGAAGGCCCTGACTTTACCACAATGTAATATATCAATGCAGCAAAACTGTACTTTTACCCCATGAATATATACAAATAAAAAATAAATGGAAAAAAAGTTGCAACCTCCTCACCCTCTGGCACTCCCTATCCCCTTCTGGTTTTATTTTTCTCTACAGAATTTTTCACCTTTTAACATACTATTTAATTTACTTGTTTAGATTATTGTCTGTCTCTTCCCACTAGAATGTGGTGCCACAAGGGCAAGAAACTTTCTTGGTTTAGATTCCCCAGCACCTAAAACATGCCTGCATATTACAGATCTTCCCTAAATATTTATAGAATTGGATGATATAATATATATTAGTTATCCAAATGAGAAATTATTAACACTGTAATGCAGTAATTGCAACACTTTGCTACATATTTGAATCATCAAAGCACAAGTCACACTTCCTACCAATTAAATCTGAATGTTTATAGGTAGAAGCCAGCCTTCAATATGTTTTAAAAGATTCAACGTGTAGCAAAGTTTGGTAACTACTGCTATACATTCTCAACCCTACAAGTACATTACAATAATATGTAGAGCTTTTACAAAAGTATCTGATGCCCAGTCCACTCTTATCCCAGATTTTGAATAAACTGGTCTAGGATGGGGCCCGATCTTCAGTTTGTTTTGTTTAAGTTCCCCAAGTGATACTGATGTGCAGAGCAAGTTGGGAATTACATAAATGAAGGAAGCTCTGATCCAGCCACGGGATTCCATACTAAACCATAATCATTTTCAATAAAAGCTCAAATTTGTACCATGTTCATGTTATAGACCAAGGAATATATCATGCTAGACAATCTACTTTTATTTAGAATCAAAAATATAAATTATTAATTTTCATTTCATATTAATCTAACCAATATTTCTGAAATACATTTTTTATCAAGGGGAATTAATCCAAATGTATCCATCAAGATAATCAGAATAGTAATAAAAGATAGCAGGAAATATGTCAATTAAACTGGCTTTTCTTGACTTCTGTTGGACAACAAGGGAATCACTACAATAGTAAGCTAATAAGGACCAGGATTTTTGTCTTCCATGCATATGATAGGTCCTAGCACACAGTAAGCCTCAATTTTTGTTGTTTGTTGAAAAGATGAAGGAAGAGAATCCTGTGAAGCAATGCAACTAAATATGAAAAATAGTCCATTATTCCAATGCAGCCTATGTATTTTAATTTACCCTCCCTGCTTCCAAAGAAGGAATTCAAAGCAGCTCAGAATAAAAGTACTGAAGCATTACAATCACTCAACTACTGACAGGAACTACAAAACAACAAAAAAGGAGTAAAGGGCAATAATTTGGGGGAGCTATCTTAAATTAAAATTGCTACTTTTCTGTGTAAACTTTATAAAGTTGTACTCAATATCAAACAATTCTGAAGATATTTTTACTCAACGTTATAAATGGCAAAAAATTTTTATGTTGCTACATTTTTTACAAATATCTGTATAATATTTAATCGTATTTTTTCTTAGCAATACCTTTAACATTGAATATTTAGTTTGGTTTTGTTTCTCTACTTGTAGAAACAGTACTACAAAAATTATCTTCATGAATATTTTCTTCTTTTAGATAATTTCATCCATTATTTATGGCTCTTAATATGTACTGTCAAATTGCTTTCTTAAAATTGTACCCTTACACTTTCCATTAATCCTGTAGAGTGTACCAACACTATAGCACCTTCATTCTGCAGTGAGTGCTAGTGTTTCTTTTACTAACTTACTGTTTTTTCTCTTTTGTTAAAGAGAAACTTACATTATAGGAAATGTAAAAAGCATAAGAGAAAATATAAATGACCTATAATCTCACCATTCAGAAATAACCCTATTAAAACTGGGATACAAAAAAAACTGGGGTGCATATCTTTTTGTCCTTACCAAAAATTAAGAGTGACCAAACTTACCATCTTCATATTGCTTTTTCCGAGTTGTACTTTCATCAAGTGACCCATCTAAATATCCTTTTCCAATTTCAGACCAAACCTGAAAATAGGAAAATACACTTATCTATTATCCAGTAGGTAGATTTTCTAAATAATTCAGAGAGACGTAAGCTAATAACTAAGGAGCTCCTTTTTAGCCAATACATCTGATAATGTGTGCTTTTTAAGAGAGCTGTGCATTTACTCCACAGTCTCAGAGGACAGGGAGAAATATATTTTAATGATTTCAGTCAATGCACTTTTAAACTAACTTCAATTGGAAAGTGAAACGTTCCTTTTCTTGAAAAGGAATACGAATAGAAAGGAAAAAGGACACAGCATCAGAGTCAATCCTCAAATTTTTATTATAATGGCACAAGTGGGTAAGTAAAATTCACAGGTAATTACAAATTTTTATTTCACTTGCAATTTTTTTTTTTTTTGAGACAGAGTCTCACTCAATCGCCCCAGGTAGAGTGCAGTGATATCATCGTAACTCACTGCAACCTCCAACTCCTGGGCTCAAGTCATCCTCTTGCCTCAGCCTCCCGAGTAGCTGGAACTACAGGCTCAAGCCACGACGATGCCCAACTAATTTTTCTGTTTAGTAGAGATGGGTCTC